GTTCTATTCACCCCTGCTCTTTCTGCCTGCCAGGGCAGGGCTGCTATCTGCGGTCCACAAGACATTGCACAATTACTGCTCACTACTCAGGCCACCCGCGCTCAAACACAAGACAGCGCACGCGCGTGCACGAAGACACCCGCTGCAAAAGAAGCTCGGACACAAGTACTTCAGCCCCTCACTAAAGGTGACCTGCTTTGTAAGAGTGTGGGCGGATTCTGTCGCGCCAAGAGATCAGTCCTGAGTGTTTCTTGTCAGGTGGTGGCTCGCTTGTAAGCAGGGCAGAGGGGCGGAAACAAAGGAGACACTCGTCGAGGATTACATGGGCACCGCTGGATATGTAGGCATGGAGCGCGGCAACAGCAGCTACACAGATGACTACAGCAGCATCTGCTTGGCAGGATGTTGCACTAGATGTTGACATTACAGGAGGAATCAGTGACAGGCGCTGAAGCAGCCACTGGTTGTGTGACCATGGTGCACGTAACGTGCCCATGTATCAAAGCAGCCACACAACGCGCTGGACGCCGTGACTGTCTTGCTTCATCTGTGCGTGCGACTGTGCAGCGCGCGGTACGGGTGCACGGCTTCCTTTCAGCAGGTCCTGAAACCAGACGTAGGGCAGCCATGATGTCGGAGATATTCGGTCTGCAGCTTGTAGCTTCAGATAGCACAGTGCAAGCAGCACACGTTAAGTAGGGCAGGGATGTACCAGAGGCTCGCTTTGAATGCTGAGATATAGTACCATGGTGACTGTATCAGAGTGCCTTGTGAACACAGGTCTGACGGAACCGAATTCGATTCTTCACGCTCCCGTAACAAACCGCCCAGTGCTGAGAAGATGACAGCGCTTGCTCTTCTTGCGCACAGTTGTGACAGTCTTTTCGATTTGCGTCTGATTCGGAGGTTTACGTTCATCATCGGCAAGGGACAGGTGATAGAGGGATGGGATCTGGGCGTGGCAACGATGAAGAAGGGGGAGGCAGCGAAGAAGGAGGCCTCTTTTCAGCTGAATCAGCGACAGCGACGCTTGAGAGGTGGCCAAGTTCACGATCGCCCCGGAGCACGCTTACGGTGAGCAACAGTCGTTAATGTTCGAGAGCCTAGTCAATGCGCCACAACTCTGCGGGCTTTTGCAGGGAGATGGTCGTCTGCGAGGCATTGCTTGGAAATGCTCATGGTGCAAGCATGGTGCGCAGGTGACAGTGGTTCTCCACCCAAGATCCCAGCGAAGGCACGCGTTGTGCTACAGATTGGTGTCCGTGTGCATAAGCTGCAAAGCCCTTGCCAGGCCACCCTCATCTTCGAAGTGGAACTCCTGGATTTCGTAAACCAGGAGATCCGAAGACACAGCACTGGGACTTTGGTGTTCTCGGGTTGCCACGAGGAAGATCTTTTCTCAGATGGTGGTGTCGTGAAAGTCATGGTCAAGGAGGGTTCCGGTTGGAAGGCGGGGCACCGAGGGTGCGAACTGTCCATCCTCGTTTTGTCGCTGTCCGGCATGGTTTTGGCCAACGCTTGCGCTGGCAGCAGACGCTAGCGACACGTCTGCATCTGCAATGGTAGCCCGGCTTGCCAGCGGGGGGCATTCTCACCGTAAGATTCTTACCACTTCCCCTTGGTTGGTTGCCCCGATACGCTTGCTCCTGGGTCTCGCACATGTCTATCATTGCTACTCGCCGTCGCAGCAGCACCGTGAGCTCGCTCTTGCCTTTCCCTTGTAGAGTCCCTGCAGAAGCCGGGAGCATGTCGACTTGGGCGCACCTAGCCGAGTGCCGGTTCATAGTCGTCAGGCAGCAGAGAGAACGAGAAACACCAGCAGATGAAATTCAGATGCATGCAAAAGGTGCTCATGATAAATGTGATCGGTCAAATCACCCGGTCACTCACTGAAGAGTTCAAGAGCACCAAGCTGTTCGATGCAAGAAAAGGAAGACAAGCAACGGGCGGCTCCTTAATTATGGCGGCCACATCTTGGCCTGTCTGCTTCTTCGAGCTTGGTCTGTCGGGCTGGCCGCCCCGTGCCTGCATGACGGTAGGTGCCCCAGATCAACACCGAGCTGAAGATCTCCCTCAAGGCCGAGTTTGGGGTCTAAATGAAGTGTCGCCCATGTTTCTTTACTGAGGCCTGCAAGCCGGACGGAACTGTCATCGAGGACAAGGGATCTTTCGAGTGCCCCGCGCTCGAATCTCACGGTCATGTGCCGTCTGGACGGATCGCATCAGGTACACCATGGGATCTGAAGGTCTGGGGCCACTGACCAAAGCTGTGGAAAAGGCTCTACCCCTAACTCGTGTCGCCGCTTGTAGGAGATTGAGATGGGCGATTGTTGGTTAGCTGAGGCATTATTTCGCATGAAGAAGGGCGAGCAGTGCAAGTTGCAGTGCTCGAAGGCCGCGGCCGGGCTCTGAGAGGCCCTGCCTTAAAGCGGCGATCCTTTCCCCTCAGGACTATGCCTTCGGAGATTCCCATCCAGATGGCTGCCCTTACGCGCCTTGCATCGCTGCAGCGCCTTGCGACCTTCGAGCCTGCCAAGTGTCCTTCGGCCAGGCGCTGTCATCGACTTGGCGATTGAATCTTGGAGAAAAACCCAGGCTGCTTCATGCATGCAGTGCTTACAAAGCCAGTGACTAAGGAGGAGTTGTACGAAGTCACGGATGTTTCCGTGGCAAAAGACAAGTCGCTGATGAAGAAGCAGGTGCCTACTGCTGTCGATGTAAGGGCCAAAGACTCTGTAGCTCGTTGTCAGATCAAAGAGGGCGAGGGCTACGAAAGGCCAAAAGAGAGACGCAGCCTCGGCAGTGGAAAGCAAGACGCCGCCAGTGCTTAGCTTCATTCTTCAAGCTCCAGGTGCCAAAGTCTCCCTGAAAGTGGAGGTCCTTCGACTGCGCCTGTAAGGAGCATAGGAATGCAAAGCTGGTGAGAGCAGTGCTCAGTTGATTTCCGACAGGCTGCTACGGATGGCTCTGCACCGCTGCCCGGGTTTAGTGCAAAAACATTAGAGTGCGAGCCCCATTCGCCGAGCTGTGTGGCAGTGATTAGCACGTCCGGGTTTTGAGGTTTGCTGCCGGTGATGGGGATGCTTGTGATGCCCTGGAGCTCGCCGTGTCGCGGCATAACCACATTACACGTGCATGATGTCCAGCGGCCTTGTCACGGCAGTGCAGCTGCTCCCGAGGTAGTGGACATGAAGAAAGGTGAAAGGGCAGTTCTGACCTGCAGCTCTCCCGGAATGTGCCAGGTGACTTGAGGGTTATTGATTGAATATATTATATTAACATAATATTATATATAAAATATATAACATATAATATAGAGTATATAATATCTATATATATATATAATATGTATATATATATATATATACGAGACGGATTTGCATCGCCAGGACTCTCAGCTCGGCTTGGGGCAAATCACGGCGGACAAGGTGCCGCTGTTTGAGTCATGTGGAGATGCCCAAACAAGGCGTCTCTATGTCCTCTTGGCAAGTTCCAGTCGTTAAGAAGTTCCACGTACCCGGGCGATCCGTGCAGCTGTATCTCCCCATGATGCCCCGCAAGCATTACCAGGATACTACGCAATGCCACCAAACCCAGAGTCTATGTCTAGTTGTTTAGGTCTTGATAGCCTGGCCTGGCACAAACATGCAGTGTCCGCAGAGAATCCATCGAAGTTCTCGAGGCCACATGGCTCGAGGCCCCAAAGGAAGATCTTGCAAGCGACGAAGCATGGGAGATGACGCCGTAACAGCACACGCGGCGATAAGAAGTGACTGAATTTCGTGAGGGCGTCATGCACCGTGTTGAAGAGGGCGTGAAATAGCGGCTAGAATAATTGAATGGTGTAAGCGCTCAGCTCGGTGCAGCCCACTTGCAGACCCCAGCGGCTTGGGCATTGACCCGGCAAACACACCGACGGACGCCGAATCGCTTTACCGACCCTCTTCCCAGAGCGAAACAGCTGGACGCGCAGCGCCTCGCGGCCTTTCACGGAAGCCACGCCGAAGACAGCTAGGCCACACAATCCACATCGCAGCATACACAGGTGATCTTCACTTTGGAACTGACCAGCTTCGATAAAGCAAAAGACATCTGGGACATGTCAGAGGATGAGAAGGCCCGCCGCGACTGACTGAGATGCATCGAGACGCCTGCCGAGTGAGCAAGTGCCCAGGTTGAGTTCGCCTCAGCTCGCAAGGAGGCCTGGAGCTGAAGCTACGATGTATGCGTACACGAACAGTAGGTCAAGATTAGGAGTTCGCACGTTTGCATATGTACACATGTAACTGCACAGCACATACATGCCCGCAGGTTTCACATGCACCGGGAGCAGGACCTGAGCACACACACACACACACGCAACCAAAAGCTCGCGCAAGAATACGGAAGTGGATATGTCGATAAGTCCAACTGACACTACCTCTTTGCAGGCCCACCATAGCCTTGGAGCCAGGTTGGTGGGAAACTCTTCAAGGCAGGCCGCTTTGTACTGGCCATGGAGCGCTACAAGAAGGCGGTCAACTCAGGAGGGGTTCACAAGGTGATCACAGATCGCACTAGCTCAGGTTGTCGACATGTTCAGCTACACCGACAACTACCAAGCACCCTGGCGCATCATGACTTCCGATGTTGCGGCGGTGTGAAGCATGTGCTCTTCGCCCCATAGCCCAGCAGATGAGAGACTTACCCTAAGTCGGTCAAGATGCAGGAAGCGTTCTTGCAGGTCTTGCTGCGGGCTGTGGATAGCCTTCAGAGGGGGTTGCAACAAGACACATCTAGGCATGGTATGTTAACTTCTGGGGTCCGACAAGATATCAAACTTAAGACTCCTCAAACCCGGGCGAGATCGATGTACCACGCACGCACGTGAGGCCACGAGCCACGAACCCCAGACATTTCGAGTGAAAAACCAAAACTCGGTTCTCTGTAAATCCTGGATGTCATCCGATGACAATTGGAGCGATGGCATTTCACGCCGAGGCAGGCATGATCCACCGCTCACACAGCACTACTTTTTTCGACCACAGCGCATTAGGGACACAATGCATTGCAGGCTCTATGGGACAAGAACCAGCATGGTTCCACCCGGCCTGCCGCATACATTGTGCACCTTTACAGCTTGGGCAGGTTGGTGCGGTGCCATTGTATGCTAAGTTGACATTTGAGGAGTCAGAGTACCAGGGAAGGTACACGTGAGGCCAGGCAGGCCAAGAGCGAGTGTGCCGGAAAGGTCCACGTGAGGCCAGGTGAAGCCTGCAAGGCTTGCATTTTTCGGGTCCTTCTCAGGCGAGAAACTTCCAACGCACTTTGTTGGCCACGAACCTCAAGACCTCAGTGAAAAAGGAACAAAGGCTGAAGTGTAGCTGCATACAACATTAAACTTTTCAAATTCATCAGTATCTCGATACAAGTGAAGTAAAGTGAACCTAAATGAAATCGAACTTTATATCTCCTCAACACACAGGGATCGTCAGACCAATATACAGAATTTTCCTCATACCATTCTGTATCTTGGAAATAATTGAGTCCCAGGAGTATAGAGCTTGAAAGCGGCGGACAGCATCCGTCTATGCAACCACAGTAACAACCTCGCTTGCGCTTGTGGGGCTAGTATTGGGGAGGGGGTTGGGGAACCCATGAAAATCTGCTTAAGCTCTTGCGTAGTCTTTCAAGTGCTAGCTTCGATTTGACTCTACCAGAAGAAGCGACCATACAGCTGAGCGCAGCAATTCCTTGGATGTTTTGTGGATGTCTTGGATCGAAGTTGCCGTCTCGACTGTTAACAGTGCTGTACATCAAGCTTTGAGGCAATGGGCTACCGTGCCGAACAAGTCGAGCTTGTCTTCTTAATATTCAAGCATGATCAAGATGTGGAGCTCCATTGCGATGGTGGTCTGGGTGTGCTGGGCAGGGAAATTTCAAGGAAGTGCTTCCCTATATCAGGAACCATCTTGCCTGCTGCAGCTCTCACCAGAAGCGCCCAGAGCTCTCCAGACATCAGAGCCAGATGCTGAACTTGATTTGGCAGAAATGTCCCGCATTGTTTCATTCCCAGACTTGTATAACAACCCGATAGAAATGACATCGTTTGTGAGTTCTTTTTGAATCACGGCCAGGCCTGTTCCAGCTCTGACTGGGCGGAGCAGTTCCGCGTTGTCCCTCCGCCAGCGCCAATTTCCCGGGGCGGGTGTTTGCATCAGCAGCTGCAACAGGTGACTTCCACCTCTTCGGGTGGGCCTTGCCAGGCCGTATCGACGAAGTCCTCATTTACACCTTTGATAATGCGTGGGAGTTAGATGCGAACATTACGCACATAGCAGCTCAGAGCGTGAACTTGTCATATGGTTGGGCCAGAACTACAGCTTTGAGCAATGCGAACGTGGTTGTAGCTTACGACGCAGAATCCTCAGCAAGTCACACCTTCAAGCGCAACGAGTTCTCTTGGGTGTTCTTAGGACAGCAAACATTTCCAGGAACCGATACCATGTCTCTTGGGGAAGACTTGTTGGTCCTGGCGAGCAGTTCGTCCGGCACGTATCAGACATTCCGTCTGCTGGGCACAACTTGGACAGCAGTTCCCACTGCCGATCTCGTGATACCCGCAGTCGCTGTCAGGTTTGCTACAGACGGGCACACACTGGCCATTGGCTTTAACGAGCAAGGTTTTGACAACACGCAAGTGCTGCTGTTTCAATGGACGGGTAGCTCTTGGTCCGGGCCAGTGGCAAACATCTCAAATCCCACCGCTGCTCCGGCCTCTGTCGTTAACCGTGTCGCTGTGGATGGGAAGTACGTCATCGCTGTTTGGTCTCTGTCTGGCTCTCCCAGCAACCTCCTCGCGATCTACGAAAACCAGGGTGGTTTGTGGCTTGAGGTCTTTCGGACCGAACCTGTTAGCACTCCGGGTTTCGTTGCGATCTCCGACTCCGGCAGGGCAGCCTCAGAGTGTATAAATCAGGCATGTGACGGGACCGTATTGTTCGAAGCCAGCCCCAATGGAACTTGGAGCGAGATACGAACCTTCAAGTCTCTCTTCGATCCGGATTCACTTATACAGGCTGCCGTTACATCTACCTCACTTACACTGGCCGCGGTTGCAGTCTCATCCATCGGGAACATCTACCCCCCAAGTGGACGAATCTTTGGCTGCAACATTTCGACGTCCACCACAACAACAACCTCGTCTCGGCCAGCACCTTATTGTCGACGTTGTCCTCCGGCATGTCAGCGCCATCGGCACTACCGTAGCCGGCACCGTCGGAAGATGTGTATGCGCCGTTGCGTGCATCCGGCATGTCAGCACCATCTGCACTACCGTCGTTGGCGCCGTGGGAAGAGGTAAAGTTCAGGGGGTAGGACAAGTTGAAACCTTGCTGAGCCAGTATGGGTGCCGGGCCTGGTGAGGTCGTGGCCCCATGGGGCGACGGTTTTAAAGCCCAGAAGAGGTTTCCCTTTGTCCGTGTACACTTTCGATGCGAGGGGCTGTTTCAGTTGTCAGTTGCAAAGCCCTCTGCAGGCAACCCTTCGCATAGTGACATAGCAGAGTTTACGCGTGCTGTTATAGAGCAGAAAAATGGGGCTCAGTTCTGTATGACCATGCAGATAATTCTACAAGAATTCTTGGGTTCTCTCAAAATCAAGTCATGCAGAATCCGATACCTTGGTCTTGGATAGTTTTTTGATCCGCTTGCTCGTGTAGAAAAGTTCCACCTGTCTCGAGAGAGCAAGGCAATACAGTTACAGGGACCGAGTTCTCCCAGGTTGGACTCTGAAAGAGACGGTCGAGATGACAAGCTGTTCACATCTCTGCTTTTCCTTGTCATACATGCACATGCGTATCTTTAGCCGTTCTGGCAGGACCACTTTTAGGGTTGTGGATCTAGTTTCAAGGTTTGGGGGTATTTAGGGTTTGGAATTTAGGGCTTAGGCTTTGCAGGGTTTAGGGCTTTGGATTTTGGACTCGAAGGTTGAAGCAAACTTCGATGTGTTTGAAAGAGTCCTGCGTCTCGAGGCAGAAAACAAGGCGAAAGCAGCTGATATGAAGAAGGCAGGGCAATGGAGCTATCATAGCTATCGAGATCATCGAGCCTGGGGACTAGTGCAGATGTTACTACAGATCCCGCCAGGCCTGCACCCTGAACAAGGCCGCGTGCCAGCTGAAGTGTGAGCTCTTTGCGGATGCGAAGACCTCTTGCAACACCGTCTTAAAGGACAGGGGCCGCTAAGCCACTGCCGCAGCCGACACTGCTCACTACATCATCGTAACTTTCTGTAACTCTCCGCTCTGTTCGATCGTAGCCAGGACGACTCGACAAACTTGAAGGCACTCTTCAGACGAGCTCAGGCCATGCCGTGATTGGGTAGACCGAACTGACGCAGGGCCATGAGGAACAGACAGCTCTGCCTTTACGTGTAAGGATAAGCAGGATACGACATGCCTGCGCTGCTGAAAGGACCGCTTCTCCGCTACGGGCTGCTTCATGTTGCGCCTCGCAGGCAGAGCTTGGCCTCAAGAACTTCGGTGACTGCACTCGAGATGTCCGGCCGGCAGATGCTTCTAGTTGACAGCAGTCTGTGGGGTTTCCCATACACCCGAGGTGAAGCGCATCTTGGAGATTGACCCGAAGAACAGAGAGGCAAGAGTGTTGGCAAAGGAGGCAGCATCCGGGCAGAAAGAGGAGGACCCACAGACCTCACCGTGCAGTGCCGGGAGCAGAGCCGTTTTTCTGCAGGATAAGAAGTCCAAAGGCCTCTTCAACAAGATGTCTTGCCGACACGTTTCTCGAAGGGCCGGCAGAAGGAGAGGCCAGCAAATCGCTCTTCCATGTCGATTGCGTGGCCTCCAGCTGGGCTCGAGCACACTGCGCAAGAAATGGCCCCGCGCCCAGCCAGCCACATGCGATTTGCAGGCCAGGCTTATGACAAAGGTGAGCAGATCTGGGTCAACATTGGCTGGAACTCCATGGGGAATCAGCGGATTCCGGCAGACGTCCCGCCATTGCTGATGGACTCAGTGGAAGAGGTTCGGTGGAAGGCTTTCGTGTCCGACCTGCAGCTTTCCTTAGCCGAGAAGACCATTTCTGCACCTGGATGCCTGCAATCCCCTTGTGGATTCTGCATAATGTGTCCGTATGCTTGTGCAAAGAAGGCAGCGTTTGATGCTGCCATGACGCAAGCCACGGAGAGGCACAAAGCCAGCTTGCCCGGCCTTGTCGGATGGAAGCTGGTGCGAAGGGCACGCAAGGAGGACCCAAGCGCTTCAATGGGTTACAACCTGATCTTTGCCAAGAGCCAAGCACCGGCCAGACCGGTTCGGCCGATTCCGGTGGTGACTGCTTGTGTCGTGGGCGACAGCGCGCTGAGCGCGCCGACGCAAGATCAGATGGGAACCGGAACCATCACCGAGCAAATCGAGGAAGTGAAGAGTTTGTTTGACAGAGGTCTGATTACCCACGAGGAATTTACAAGAAAGAAGGCTTTGATTCTCGGCCTGCAGTTGTGAAATTAGCCGCTAATTAGCCGCACAGATATCAACTTGCGCCCTGTGTGATGGGATCAGCGTGATCAAACCTCCAGGGGCAGTCGACGACGACTAGCTGACAAGCTGCCATAGCTCCGAAGTAGTGTGGAAGCATGCTGGTGTAGCTCGTGCTCTGATGTGAGCAGAAGCCAAAGACTCATGCTTGCACTTGTCTCACTGCGAAATGTTAAGCTAATGCTACGAGAGCTCTGAGAAAAGGTAACAAGAAGTAGAAGCCGGGGGAGTTGTTGGTGCATTAGCCTCCAAAGACGTGCAAGCTACAGTAGACTCTGCAGACGACCCGTCAGCAGGTGCTCAGCTCTCGGCAAGGGGCCCATACGCGAACCCTACAAGGCTCACTGTAGCAGGTTCCTGTGCCGCGCACTCTGCGAAGCCTTGGCTCGGAACGACTGATGCGATCAATACTCCCTACTCCTGTGATTCTGCAGGAGCGTCGTTTCGATTTCGATGCCGACGAGGATGGCAGGGGTGTGGCATTGAGAGCTTTTGCATAGCCAGTGTCCCTGACGCTTTCCTGCAGGACGAGGGTATGCAAGAAGAGGGAGAAGGAGAGGCAAAGGCCGCGGCTTTGGTCGACAGATTCTTACACCCCTGACTCAGCCGCCTCTGTCCCTGCAGGAAGCTTGATGCCATCGCCTTGCATGTACAGTCTCTGAAAGGCTCGGCCATGCACAATGTTTTGGCCTCCGTTCCATTTGGAATGCATGCCTCTCATAGATTGTGTAGCCGTCAAAGCTTTTTGCCAGAACCGTCCGTTCCAGACGATATGGTTAGCTTCGAACTTGAGATACATTGCGGTCAAAAGGCTCTGGCAAGTTGGAGCCTCGAATGTCTAGGCATGCACCGTTCGCAAACAGCAACACCTGCAAGTAAGCTGCAGTGAGAAGCAGCAGTTGACAGACATCGGCCGTTGATGAACATGAACCCAGTCTGTTTGCGGCGCATGCAGCTAGCACTCGGTAGAACGCCCCACAGACAGGGAGCGGATTTTGTTGTGATCCAGCGCATGTGCAGCTCCTCTTGCCTTCTGACCGGCTTTTGGCGTCGGCCTCTGCAGACACGCCTGCTCGGCCCCAGAAGTGTGCCCAGCCAGGATGGTGAGAGCGCAAGCTGAATCCGAAAGACTTCGACCCCTTCAGCACCCCTCAGCCCTTTCAGGGCGCAAAAAGCTTGTGGCTTGAGGCATCATAAATAGGGGCACATGTAGTGAGTGTGAGATCTTCATGCTGGCTGCCGCGAGTCAACTTGAAACTGTCAACAACTGACGTTGGAGTCGAAGCCCTTCCTTGCTCAAGTGGATTCCCAGCAAATCTTGGGCATCAGAGTCAAGGCGCACCATGAAGACCGTGATGTCACCGATGGGATTTGACCCGACACCCTTGAGAAGGATGTCGCGCATCGGTTCATGCAACTTCCGTGAGAAGGAGAAGAGCTTCAACACTCAGGCACAAGAAATGTCAAGGAACAAGGGGCATCACTGTCAGCAGCCCCTTTGTCCTCCCAGAGAGGAAGAGACATGGCGGCAGACCTGCGAGAAGGAGCGATTCATCGAGGCTTTCATGTTCTTGATGCCCTGCGACACGGTTTGTGGATGTGTTCTTTGTTCTTCGAGCAGGTGCTGGCACACCCGCCTCAGACAACTTTCCATGACGTGGCACATTCGCAGCCGGGCAGCAGAGACTTGTTTGCGAGGCTTTTTTCCGGTGAGCTTCGCCGACTGTCTTGTGTAAACGACGTCCGAGAAGCTGTTTTCCGAGAAGATGAGAGAAGCAACAGCGTCGCGTGGCTTTGATGTATCCGGCTTGCATCGGGCTCGATAGGGGACTCTGCCAAGAGCAACGTCCCATTAGACCTTCCTGCCAGTGCACAGCACTTTCTCAAAGAGCTCAGGACTGATGTATTCTGCTTAAGATCAGACTTTCAGATTTTTCATGCGAGCCTTTGCCTGCCATGGCCGTGGTAGACCCAGGGCCCGAGCCTGAGCGACTCGGGTGGTTCTGCTGCAATCGCCGGGCGCCCAAAGCGCCCGCAAGAGTGGAAGCTCGAGGCCTCCGCATCGTCCTAATCTTTCAGCTCTTTCATTGGTCTTTGTGCCCCATCTTGTGGGAAGATGCTGTAAAGAGAGGAAATCAGCCCAGGGATGCTTTCGTACCTTGCATCTCGGTGATTCTGCAGGTGAAGAGAAGCCGCAGATCAACGTGCTGCCACCGCAGGCGCCGCAGCCAGAGGAAGTCTGCGCTGAAGAGCCTCTGCCTGGCAAAGAGGAGGATTCCGCTGGTGCGGAGGAGGAAGCTTCTCAGAATGAATAGTTAGCCAAGGCGAGACTTGTTTTTTTTTTGCGGCTCTTTTGAACACTCACAGACTTCCAAAGACACTTCCTGTACGTAGCACGAGCCCGACCCGGTTGAAAGCGGTTGTAGCTCCGAGTCGAAGGACCGCCGGGGGCCTTTTTGGAAAACCGAGGAGATACAGCCATCACCCGTCAACAGAGCAGCAGAACGTCCAGATGCCGAGACTGGAAGCAGTGGCTACTTCTCCAATTCGAATAGCTCCCACAGCGATAGTGATGCCAGCGACCCCTGCTTCTGGAAGCCAAGAAGAGTTCAAAGTGACAGCAGCGCGGCATCGGCCACGAGCTCAGAGTATTTGCAGGCCGAAGCTCAGAGACGAGAAGTGGAAAGGCTAACGGCTCAAGTTCCCCTCACTGATGCTGGCAAGCCGACATCCGTGGGGAGCATCAACCATCCAAGCGGCTGCTGTCCATGTATGTTCTTCGCCAGACCGTCTGGATGCATACGTGGGGTGCAGTGTGAGTTCTGCCACTTTCCACATCAAGTCAATGTAAAAAAACATTTGTCTGCACAAAGGAGTGCAGGAAATCGTGCATCAGCACGTAGCCAAGCCCTACTCGTAGGATAAGAGTCGGCTTGGTTGCAATCTTCTCAGGTCCCAGCAAATATCTTCTTCAGGTCGTCTGATAGGCTAGCACACGCTAGCACGTTTCACACCGTCCTGTGGAACGGATTGCAGCTTCAGCGTGCCTGGCGCTGAAAGATCGTGAAGTCTGCAGAGCTGTCATGCTGTATTACTGTATTACGGGGACTGGTAGTCATTGGTGGCTTGGCGGGTTGCTTGTCTTGTCTCTCGCTGGTCTTGTTGCCTGAGTAGTACAGGGATTCGGCATGATTTGCCAACGACCCTCTCATGTCCTGGCTCAAGGATCGGGACAGATCCAGCTAGCAAAACCTCTCTTCTTCTGCTCAAGTTGCTCGGCATTGGCACGAGGCCATGTGCAGAAATGTGCTATACATCTGATGTTGGTCCTACGGAGGCTATACAGTCAGCAGTTGGAATTAAAGCTTGCCTCACGACTGTAAGCTTCCAGACGTCATCTGCGGTTAAACGAGATCAGCATGGTAGGGCACCTGGTTTCTACTGCCTCCCAGCAGGTTCCACGATGTACGTGATTGATGAATGACTCAATTTATATCAGAATCCGTCTATCATGCCGAGCGCAGTTCATTCTGAAAGCAAAAGGCTTTCTGCGAGCAGAGCGCTCAAGCTTAGGATTGCCTGGTGGTCTGCCAGCTACGGCAGCGTTGATTGCTTCTTTTTTGCCAGGGCAAAGGCACCCGAGGCCAGTCTAGTCCCCAAGTTCTTTAAAACCGCAAGAAGAACAAAGAGGTGCTGTCGGGATTCCCATAGCTGAAGGACTCGATGCTGACTTGCATGATAGTGATGTCATGGTTTCACCTGCATACTTGACGAAAAGCTGCAGCATCGTAGCTACTGCATCATGTCGGACCTGCCATATCATTAAGCGCACCCCTACAAATGCTGGCAAAAACAGTTCCGTTTCCAAGGTCGGGGCCGACTCGCAGCACGGCACACACGACGCACATTGGACAGAACGCGCAGGAAAGCGGGGGGAGCCGTCGTTTGTTTAGCTCCAGAGCCCTCATTCAGGCTTTCGGGTAGGATGGATCATCGGCTTGATCGGATTTTGGCTGCTTCTCCTCTCCCGATGTGGGGTAGCAAGGTTCTTTAGAGCGACATGCAGCCGGCAGTGGAATCAGAGGCCGCAGCCGCTGAGAGGCCAGCCGGGAAGCCATCGGCCATAGGCGCAAGGGGAACTGGGTGCGTGCTCGACCAAGAAGTGCAAACAAACACAAATGGGAGTTTCCGAAAATAAGGGGTACCCTATTTTGGGGTCCTTATAATAAGGAACCTATACTAGTTAGGGTACTATATTAGGGTCCCCTATTTTCGGAAACCCCCAAATAGCATGTGACATACAACCAGGAGCTCCAAACAAGTGTCCGCTTGCAGTGGGTTGTAGGTTACCACTCGGCAGTTGCAGGCCTTCACTGGGGAATCCAATGAGCTTCAGGCATGCACGCATAGCGTTCGAACTGAGAATGCTCGAAGTCTCACCTTGCCACAATATTCAGAGTAGGTCTCACCTAATCTTTGCAACATGCGCTTCTACCACAGAGAGATATGTTCATCACGGTGCTAGACTTGAGCGAACATGTTGCTGAAGTGTCCTTGGCCGATCTTCAAGCGAGCCAGAGGGCAACCATGGAAGACGCACCCACGGGCACCCGGGGAAAATACGATGTATTTCCGCAGCGCACGACAGCAAGATTTAAGCGAAGCCCTCCTGTGCTGCCTCTGTGGATATAAGTGTGCATCGCTGGTGGGCTTGAAGCTGACACGCCGTGTTTGAACTGGACAAGTTTCGTAGGTGTCATTGTAGTCGGGGTTTATCTACGATCAACGATTTTGCATACTGATGGAACTTGTGATAGAACAGACGACGTTTGCTGTAGCAGAGACAGCCACCCTGATGATTCACGCCTGCGCCTTACCTGGGGTTTCTCGCGGTGGTCTTGTGAGCCCTCCGCAGCAAAGGTGTTCAATGGGTGCAAAGAGGTCTGCTCTCTGCCGGCCAAGGCTAATGCCGCAGCAAGAAACTGAAGCAGCAACGCGTAAGTAACTACATGTGTGCATGTGTCCTACTTAAAGGATGATGGGACTTAAATAACTGTCGGGCTATAAATAAGGTAACTATACTTATAAATGCTTATATCCCCAATTGAGGTACTTATAACCTTGCTCACTAAGTCCCATGATCCTTTAAGTATATGTAAGCCTTGCACACTTTCGGGGAGCGGCTGCCGGTAGGCCTGCACCGCGTGCGGGGGCCTTTGCGAAGGTTGTGAGGACTTGCGGGGCCCGTGGGCTTTGCCTCCAGGGATGTAGTCTCTCAATTGTTTTTGTTTTTCTCTCTCTGCCTCCGTCTGTCCCGCTCGCCCTCACTGTCTGTCTCGTCTCTCTCGCCGGCTCTCTGGCTGTCGCTCCTTAGTCCCGCTCACATTCAGCAGCAGCACAGCACTGAATGTGATGGCAGGACTGTTGCTCCGAGATCTGTGGAAGCTGCACGGCATGCGTGCACCGCCCACTTGGAACCTATGTGGTTTGTGTCGAGACCTTGGAACTAGGCATGCTCACACGTGAACTCGAGTTACTCGAGCGCCCGCTCGGGCCTACTTGCTGCGACCACCGGGATAGTGAAGCGATGCGCGCAGTCGTGAACACGTCGTTGTACTCAATGCTGCGGCACTGGGGTTGGAATGCTGGGAGACCCACTCTGGTCAATAGACAGCTCCCTATAGCGAAGATTCATGGTTGGCCAGTTGGAGCAGTCGTGATTTGTCGATCTGCAGATTCTATCCACACTCCATCTTGCTTGAGGACAGTAAAACCAAGCAGCATGGCGTCTTCCTGCAGAAACTGCAGCAGTAAATGACCGGCAGTCTCCATTGGAAATCGTGCACGCCGTTGACCTCTGGAATGGCTGTGGAAGCGGGCTTTCACGCTCCTATAGGGGCTCCATCTCGAGGGAAGTCTGGGGCACCGCAGCTGGCTTAGGCCATCCTCCTGAGCCTCGCAGAGATCGGCTGCTGCCTGACCGCCCTTCTCGAGGTGCCAGCGGGCCGGGGCCGGGGCCGCTCGTTGCAACATCGAGCGTGAGCCCGACTGACAGGATGACCTCGGCAACTGCACTTTCCCGGAGGGTATGGCCAAGAGTGCGCGACCCTTGGATGATCCAGGGCTCTGGAGCATTTCGAGGGCCTACTGGGTATCGGTCAGGTTGGGGTCGGCTCCTGGCTGCGCGTTCAGATGGGTGGGGGCCTCGGCCTTTGGACCTTTGGACATGGTCAGCGACTGCTTGGGTCCCCGGAAGCAGCGGAAGCGCAGAAGGTCGCTCTCGCCCTTACTTGTAGCTACCTGCCCCATCTAAAAGCGTGGGCTTCACGGCGACCCTGCAATTCGTAGAAGCTTGTCGCGTCAGGCTGCGCTTGGCTCAACCTCATCTTTGCACCCTATATCCAGTATCAGCTGATGCAGACGCCGCACGCCTACGTGGGCTGCCTGCTTCACAAGCAAGAAGGCTCATGGAACATCATGGAAGCAAGGCTTCAAGCAAAAGCAGGGGTCGGAGAGATGGACCAGCGTGCCATCAAGGATTCGGTCCTCGCGTCCTGGGCTGGGGCCGGCCGAGACGTTGACTTTTTGTCTTCTTGCAGGAGAGCTTCCAAGAGGTATTTCTTCACGACATCGGCGTGTGCCTCTATGTGACTTGACCGAAAGAAGGACAGCGGTGGCAACCGACAACACCAAGTAATTTGCTGGTTGAAGCCAACAATCTGAGGTCTTCGCATGGATAGGTTCTCTCGTTTGGAGCATCTTTGGCAAGCGCCCAAGAGCGAATATTTAGTGGTAGCGCGGCATTCCGGGTCATGCATTCAGTGGGTCGTTCAAGGGCTTACATGACGGATGAAGAAGGGGCAACCGATTCCAAAGTACGATTTCTCTTCAACGTGTTAACAGGCTGTTTTGTTTGTTGCCCTCGCACTGTCGTGCCGTAGACAGCATGGCCTTCATAGCCCGCGCACGCCTTCCCACTCAGTGTTTAAGGTAGTTACGGCAGGCAGGCAGGCAGGCAGGCAGGCAGGCAATTTTCGAACATTTGCGACAGAGCTTGGAGAGCGAGGAAGAAATTCGAATCATGACCTTGCTCACGTCTCGTTTGCAAGATTCGTGGAAAGTCAAGACAGTGGGTTGCTTCAGCGAGAAGGCTTGCTTGTATTCTTGAGTCATGCACTTGTTCTCATAGCAGGGATCGTGCATCATGCCGCGATCCAGATATTTTGAACGGATGGTGTCGGAGACAAACATTGACCGCGGGGTGATGCCGTGATGCTTCCAGGCTTTTCGTGGCTGCGACAAGCTCCAGCTGCTTGCGATCCTCAAGGTCCCGGAGACTATGTTTGGGTGGGACTGTATTCGTTGCCGTGATAGTTTTCGCGTCGCGACGGTTAGCAGTCTTGACGATGATGGAAGTAGCGACACTGGAACCTTTGGAGCAGAACTGGCAAAAGTCGGAGTGGTGCTCATTTTAGAGCATCGTTTATATTCATCACGTGTAAGAATTTGCTCGCCTAAGTCTTGCTTGCGCAGGATGGGTGTCCGTGGCTGCGTTGCTAGGAATCGCCTTCTTCTGGCCGCTCTGGCCGGTTTTGGACGTAAGGCATCGGGTCTGGTCTGAGCCCGTTGCACGTGAGAAGGTGTCTCCTTTGCTATGGCTTCGTTTGGTACTGCTATATCAGCTGCACCAGCCATAGACCCGTCACGGCCTTAGGCAGGCTCGGAGCTCGATTTCCTCTGGTTTTTTACATCACAAGGTGAACTGGGCCATGAAGCTGATCCCCACGGTGGCGGCCAAGGTGCGGAAGCCCTCAGGGCCAGGCTCTCGGCCGGCGATCCTCGGCCCTGGCCCTGCAGGCGCACGCACATGCGTCCCATGCCGCGGCCCCCAGCAGAACGCCAGGACAACTACCGGCGATTCCGACGGACTCCAACTAGTTTTTATTTTGCAGCTTTGCTTCAGGAGTGGTGCCTGGCCCAGCCAGCCCCTTGAGTCTTTCTTACGCAGCCGCCTTCGCCCTCTGCACAGCCTTCAATCAACAGGCCTCCGTCTCCGTGCCGCCTTCGGGCTGCGGCAAGGCGCGACGAGCACTGACGCCAGTTCCTTCGTCTTGCAGAGTCCGCCGAGGCCTGCACTGTGACTCAACTCGCCAAGCTAGTGGCATGCCTTGGCTGAATGCTTACTGCATGTGGAAGATAGGCATTGGAGTCACAGCCCGTTCTGTCAAAATCAGGCTTAGACTTGTTCGGCGATGCCACGTACTTCTTCCCAGTGATTGGCGAGGTGCTCCTTTCGCGCTCAGAGTCTCCAGTTTTCCCCGTTCCGCAGAAGTTTTCGACGGCCTCGGAGCACTCCAGTCGAGTCCTGCCTCTGCCAGGGCGTGGACCTGGCCTACGCTCCCATCCAGGTCTGTGGCCATCTGTTGGTCACATGCTCTCTCATTGTTGCTTCATGCATGAAGCTCGCCTGCTGTTCCGAGGGAATCGCGCTGATGATGCTGTTTGGTTCAAGAAGCATCTCGCCTCAGCAGAATGTGGCAGCCTGCGCGACCATGATGCGGCTTGGGCCTTTGAAGAGTCTCGGACCCACAGACGTTGAGGCATCGCCACCGTGGGATTCTTAGAGGACGGAAGACGGAAGGGCCTTGTCATGGACACAGCTTAGTTTTTTTTGCGGTGTCGGCCCTTTGTTTGGTTTAGTCTTCGGCAGCCAGAAGCAGGAGCTCTTGCCCTTCACCGACCTGATTCCCTCTGCCACGCTGGGCTGGCTGAGAGCTCACGTTGTTTGGAAGGGGACGGTGACAGGGCGATCCGATCTTCACATGGTGCTCCTTTCGAGTCCGAGGACCATTGAGACTTTCTTTGCAGAGAGCTGCCTGGGCCGGTCACTGGGGCTCTCCCAGCATCAAGACGGCGGTAGCTCCTCGTCTGATGAGTAGCTTGTGGCTGCGTTGCCGTTAGGCACCAGCTTTGTTAGGACGCCCTTTGTAGCATCTGCTGGTTCCAAAAAAGCTCTTGGTGCCAATGTCACGGTATCTTTGCCCCTGCCTGACAAGATGATGCACCATGTGGCTGATTCTCCCGGCATGTTCGCCAATGCCGTTGATGCACGTGCTCGTGTTTGCCGGAGCTTCTACCAACAACTGGTGGTCACTCATCTCAAGACGTGGCTCTTTCAGACATACAGGGGCCGAGAGCCATCGTCGTCATTGCCATCATCGCCGCGGCAGATCGAACGACCATCGCCTCGGCTCGAGCGGGAATGTCACCCGAAATACCAGTTTTGATGCTGCCCAGGGCCTTGACAGGTGCGAGCAGCTGGCGTCCAGATGTCTTTCTTGCAGATCGGGACTTGGATGCCGTGATTGGTTCAAGCATAGCCGAAGCACATGGTTCAGAGCACAGCCATGACAGCAGAGCAGGCCTCATAAGCTCAGAACAGGAAAGCTGCTTGCTGTTGAGATTTTCGTGTAAGACCCCCGGTTTGCGAAGCCATGGATGTCAAAGAGACGAGCAGACCTCAGCTTAACCGCACCTTGCGAGACTACGCTCTACACCATCCTGCGCAAGTCTTGAGATAAGTGCACAGGGCCCCGATTTGATGCAAGTCACCTGCGCCAGGATGCGGCCCGGTCCAGAAGAGGACTGGCCACTGGATCCACTGGGCACATGGGTCGTGGGTTATTGATCTGTTGTGTCAGTAAGGACTCCACGACGAGCAGTCAGGCCTCAAAACGAGGCAGGTGTGGCGAAGCTGGCGATCAGAGTTTCCTCGAGTCTTGCATATCATTCCAGGTTATGGCCCAAATCCGGGGCGAGGTCGCTCGCTCTCCCCTAAGGGTCCATCGTAGCTTGCTTGATGCGGATGAAGTTGGAGCAATCATTCGCAAGAGCTTTTAGGTTGACGGAAAGCTCTGGCTTGAGTGCCCCGGATTCAGTGAGATGCTGAGTGCACCAGTATTTGCTTCCGCGACGAATGACGGATGTACAAACAGGATCAACTTATCTCAACCAAAGACGAACTACCCCGACGCTGTGCGAGCCGAGTGTCTCCCAGGAGTTCGGTGTGTCCGAGAGGCAGCTGAACGAGGCCTCGAGCTCTCGGGCTCACGGGCTCATGAGTCGGAGGGGAAAACGGGAACCTCAGAGCCCCCTCCCACTTCTGCGTGAACCGGAGGCAACAGCAGCTGCGAGCAAGCTCTGGCCTCGGGCCTCTGCGGAGACTTGGCATCTACGGTTTTTTGTTGAATGAAGCCGGGAACGGTGCTCAGGGTTGTCACGCGGAAGCTCTCTGCAGGCTCGTGTTCTCGTCTAATTAGTCGGACTTCCTAGACGAGTCTGGCTTGTTTCTAAAGGTCAACATCCGAGCTCAGAGTGGCAAGATTCAGACTTCGGAAGCTTGGCTTGGCATGGCTTCTGGTTCTGCCCCGCCCTGCACTGGACAAGTTCTGAGGTTTGGGCGATGAGCAAATAGAGGCCAAGACGCAAGGGCCAAGTCGCAGGCATCGAAGAGTTTTGCGCCCACGGGAGGCTCTGGAAGCCAAGATCAGCAGCGGCCAGCAGGAGGCCTGAAGAGCGGACTTCGTCTGGAGCTGCATTCCCTTGCCTTGTCGCGGTCTTTGCCAGGCACAGGTGCGTACCATGAAGCCTCCAACGCAAAGGCAGCGCAGCAACAGCGGACAGACACTGCGTCTCGCTCGCAAGATCGGGCGCTCCAGCTTCCGGGCTCATGGCTCGATGTGCCTTGAGGCACTCAAACTTGCGCACAACTTGGATCCTCGGTCATACGTAGCTGAGTGCAATGTAAACTGCCAAGCTCTCAAAGTGCGGACAGGTTTAGAAGCCACTCCCTCGCTTGTGCCTGCACACCCCCGCCCTGTCGGTGAACGAATTTTAGTCCACCAAGTAATGACCTGTGGAAAGGCCTAGACTGCGTTAGCGCCCCACAGCCATGCAGGAGTAGAACGTCGCACACAGCGGGACAGTAGTAGGACTCACGTCTCACGTGCTTTGGCTGAATCTGTTGCTGAGGCCTGGTGCGCCAGATCCAGGGACCCCGCTCCCTGCGCTCCGCGAGGCGAACTTTTTCCTTGTTTGCGACATCCGCTGAGCCGGAGCCTTTTAGCCTGTGCTGAGGCTTAGACTCAGACTCTTCCACAACAGACTCCCACCTTCACTCCTTGTCCTCTCTCGACTTTTGCGCTTCCCCTTTTGCACAGTTTTATCTGCTCCTGCAGCAACGTGTTCCATGTTGCAGAAATTGGCAAACATGCCATGACGTGTCTTGCGGCGATTGTGCCTGGGAGGTGTCTGAACAGGAGTCCTCTGACGCGTCCTTCCACGTCGTACGGAGAGACAGTGCGGCCCTGAGACGCTGGCAAAACGAAGAGGATCAAACCGAAGGTTCATTCCGATGCCTTTCGTGCGCAGGCAGTCGTGTGAGCAGCCTTCTGCGCTTCGACAGCGAAAGCCTCTCCTCGGCGGCACGGGGTCTCGGCCTCGGCTAGAAAGAAGGGAGGCTTGGGTGCCTCTTGACGGGACCCGTCAGGGTCACCAAGAATTCTTACAGATCTGTTGTCATCATGGTTTTCAATACCATCAAGTGCTCGTCTGGATCAACTCTGAATCCAATCACCATCTACCTCAGGGCCAGCTACTCTTTTGACATGTTGGGAGCAGCTATCTCACACTGCTACTGCCAACCTCCACAGCGGCTTTCATGTCCTTTGGCTAAGTCTTCTGCGCAGGTGCCGGAAGTGCGCCGTTTGAGTCCCGCGTCAGAGGCAGAAACCTTTCGAGCCTTGAACTGAGCCCTCCGGTACCGATGCGAGGTTTGGCGTGCTTGGGACGTGCGAGACAGTGTTTTAACGCATTTTTGGGACGAGAAGAAGAAGGCCAGTCCTTGAATCCCAATCCTGGATGCGGGCGGAGCATACAGCTGCATGGAATTGCGAACTGTCTAGTCTCCATCGGCCACCGCCATGCGAGGCGGCTACCATCGCTCACCCTAGGTGAGACTGTGAAGCTTCGGCTGAGCCGTTACCACGACCCTTGATGTAGGAAGAACGCATCGGACAAATGCAGAAGCTGTGTCGGGGAGAGTTGAAGAGCAGTCGACTGTCATTTCTGGTGTTGGCGGCATCTCCTTGTCGTCTGCAGCACTCGTTTGCCGTGTCTGAAGCAGCGGCAGCCAATTTAAAGAGAGGACAAGCAAGAAAGCCAAGCTGCGAAGCAATGATGCTACAACAAGTGACTCTATATAATGGCTAGCTGACGAGCCACATCTAGCAATCTAGCCACGGAGGAGTGAGGGGGGAGGCGGGTACCATGGACAACTTGCTGGCAACGCCGCTAGAAAAAGCAGAAATCGACGAGTTGCTCTCGTTGTTCCCAGACTTCACTGGCACCGTGCCAGAGGAGGCACGTTTCTGGAAGAAGTCTGACCTGGAGCTCTTTATCGCAAGCAATGGCCAGCTGAAGCCCAAGGAGAACGAGGCCGCGAAATCCAAGAGCTGCCCGCTGCTTTCAAGAGCTCGACAGCGCCTTGCAGAGCTCAAGATCGGCGAGGCCTCGGCAGAGTACCTCTCTTGGACCCGTCACCGGCAGCGAGCACTGCAGCAGCTGCCAGGACTGGAGAAGCCCTGCTCACCTGTGCAGACTGCCGCCCAGGCGCCTGCAGTCCCAAAGGTGCCTGTCGTTGTCTCAGCGAAAGACTGGTGCGGCAGCTCTTGGGACATGGACTTTTGGAAGGCACTCGGCCATAATATGTGGTGGACGTGTCGCTCGCGCTCCCCGGCCTTTGAACATGACCGGAAAGCTGCAGACCGCGTTGATGTTGAAGCATCCCCGCCAGAGTACATCGAGTATGCTCGGCTTCTTCATTCCATGGATCCTGACTGCCTGGAAGACAATGCGCTGGCCTTCCCACGCATCGTCATGGACGGCTGGTGTCCTTTCATCAGCACGGAGGGCGGTGCTCTTCTGGCGAAGCACTGGCGTGAACTGACGCCGGCTGGGGTGAAGGACATGTCGCCCAAGTGGATTAAGATCTTCACCACTGTCTTCACCATGGACTTCATGGACTTCTTTGCCCGATTCTACAAGCTGGCATTGGGAGCTCCAGGAAGCATCAGCCGACTGCACAGATCGAATAACGGCGCGCATGTCTGGCACCGACAAATACAGGGCCGGCGCCTCTTCTTCCTCTTCCCTCCCCAGGACACAGCCAACCTGGCTGAGGCGGCCGCATGTGAGGTCTTGCACGTGTTGGAATCCGTGTCTGGGTTGTCCTATGTCCTATGTTGGCAGAGGCAGTGACACGAAACAGCAAGCATCGGGCAAACGGCGGCATCTTCACCAGAGTGTGCATTGGCCAGGAAGAGGGCGCTGCAGTTGATCATCTGGAAGGCTTTGGCGAGTGATCGTTGGTGACCGTTAGTCTCCAAGCCCAAATTTCCACTATTTCTCCGCACTTCAATTGTGCTCTAGGATGGTTCAAGCCAGGCACGTGACGAAAGGTCGAGTTGTGAGCGTCAGAGCAGGCTATGCAGCTTCCGTGAGCTCTGTTGACATCTTCTACCCCAGCGGCAAGAGGCAACTTGGCAGAGGAAGCCGTGCGCCAATAGACGGAAGTTTGCAGTTGCATGTGGGTGCAGCATCCTGCATAGCGGCTGGCAGCGCGAAGGCATGCAGCCTTTGCGAAGGCTTCTGCGCAGGCTCGCAATCGTGACCTTACCATGTGTTTACCCGGTTTCACACTTTGTGAGCCCACTGTCATCTTGACACTTTTGCTCAGTCCGTTGTGCTTCATCCCGGAGAATCGTTGATCATCCCAAACGGATGGCCCTCCCCTCGATCTGTCAGAGCTTTTGGTACTTTGCTGGTGGTTCAAACAGTTTGCTGAATTCAGGTGGCACTACGCAGTTCATCTGGAGCCGTCTGTCACGCATACGTCTCAGGATGTGCACTCTAGCCAGTGTCTGTCGCAGCAGTCTTCGGGCTGCCGTTAGAGTCGTGCGACAGGTTGCACCACCCATTCTGGGGGATTCAGAACCGATCTCACTTCTCCGAAGAGTTGCGCGAGGCCGTCGGCCGGCTGTGAACAAGTCCTGAAGTGTTCCTTAAGGGCCCCACATTCGAGGCTTTCATTGCCAGCAAGATGCCGCCCGAGCTTCGCGAGGTTGCTGCGAGGCCAGTCGCATTCAGTCCAGCACAGCACATCCGCAGAGCTGCAGTTATCCGAAGTCGCCTTGACTCGTTCATGCCGACTTGCTCTGAATGACATGCCAGGAACATCTCGCAAATCCATGAGCGCATCATGGAGGACGATGATGACGATTCCGACTATGACATATGAAAAAGAGTCAGTGGCTCTCAGTACCTGTAGTCGTGAACTTCCAGAGGGTGATAGTTGAGCTTCGATTTTTCATCGGGCCGCGGGCCCTCACCGCTCATCTTAGTTCTAGTGGCTGGATCTAGATCCGTTGGTAGTGTCGCAATGCACTTTGCAATGACATTCGCTGTCGAGTCCAATAGATCGTCTGCGACACCGAACTGAACGCATCGTGTTTGCACACGTCTGGTTGCATAGCTTTGATCGACTAATCACTTTCGAGCTCCGTTGCTATTTTTGTTTGTTTGTATAGTTGAGCATAATCTCGAACGATCGAACGAAACTCAGGAAGGCTCAGGATTCAGGTTCATCGTTTGGTGCGAAGCAAAAGTTAATTGGTTCGGATAAGATGCTGTATGACCTGCATGATGTCCGTCTGCCAGGTCTCACTGATTGCAAGAGACAGCTGGGAAATACTGATCGACATCAATAGCTTCACATCGAGACTTGAATTCGTGGAAGTTGGGAGCCAAGTCGAGAGCACAACAGCAGAAAGATCAACAACTCAGCCCGCAAAGTTTTCACGCAGCCGCGTAGTTTGGACAAAGCCATGGCATCGCATCTCGTGAAGGGCGCTTTGGTCCACCTCTCCGGGCCCCAAGAAGAGGTGGGTCCCCGTTGTTGTTCCTTGAGTCTCTATTGAATTGCTTTGCCCTTTTTGTTTGAGCTTTCCGGAGGTGCTGGAGCTCTTCGTGAGCGGTGAGCCCTCCTTGGAGGCCTTGGGCAGCGTGAACGTGGAAGGCGGGGCGCAGCTGCAGCGCTTCGACCGAGCCTCCCAGCGCTGGCTGGCGCTCACCTTCGATGGGCGGCTCGTTCAGACCACGCCGGACTTGAGCCAGCTAAGACCCTTAGAGGTGCAGGACCTGGGCATTGACTTCGTGGTGGGCCCAAGCTCGAATCGCGAGGTCTTGGCAGAAGCCATGGCTTCCAAATTGGTTTTAGATGGGTTTTGTGTCAGCCAGACATTGGATAAAAGAACGGAGATCTCGGAGATGCTGAGCGCCACCGAGGCGCATGTCAGCTTCTCTCGAATTCCAGCAGAATTCGAGCCCTACTATATGGGCCTGGAAAGCAAGGAGAGACATGCTTTGATAGATTTCGAAGAGTGCTCCGATGAATTAACACGGATCTTTAGCGATGCAGACACGAGACTCACGCGCCTTGGTGACAGCGTTTCCGTGGCTTTGAGGGAGAAGCTCGGGACCCGGATAACCGGAAGAACCAACCTCATGGTCCGGCAGAGCTTCTCCAACTCGGACGAGGAGGCAAAGTGTCAGCCGGTGGACCATCCAGGCAGCAGCGAGCGGGAGATGTTCATGAGCCTGGTCAAGCGGCGGAGAGTCTGTGTGATGCACTTTCTGGGGCCTCGCACTGGCAAGCTCAGACTGATCTCCCGGCACGGAGGTCAGGAGGTTGAGATCGAGGCTAGGACGATCTGGCTTGAGCCCTGCGTTGTGGCCGCTTCCTTTCCTGCCAGGCCTCGCCCGGTAAGATGGTCCTCTTTATGACCGAGCGCTTCCAGCAGCTTGACTTCAAGACGTCTGCTTGCAGATCATCTTCTGGCTCCTGCATGTTGCCAGCGACAGGTACAGCCACACATGCGAAGGTAGAACAACAACCCTCCAAACTTGGCTGCTCGGCGTCAAAAGAGCTACGACAGGACACGGCTGTGAGTGACCTTTGAAGGTTGCTGGGCCAACGGCCAGAGTACTACATGCAGAGCTTTGGAGGCGACCTTTCGGTGCAAGCCTCAGCTTACGAGAAGGAGACAGTGCGGTGATCTTGACACTGCCCAGGTCCTGGCGCCCATCGCTGAGAAGGGGATTGATCCGCCGAAGGTGCACTCATCGTAGGAACCGCTCGTCGGGCAAGCATCCCAGATATGGGACGAACTTGGCAGGGTGAAGGTGTGGTGGTCACGGGCGTGGCAACTCAGATTGGTGGCGACTCAAAGGACTGGTTGGGGTCTGGGTGATGGACGCGGGTCCTGTCCCCAATGTCTGTCAACGAGTGCAAGGACCACAAATGCTACTGGCTGATGTTCAACAAGGCCCGGGCCCTTTTCCGCTGTCCGTGTCCTCCACATGATAGCATCCTCATCTCTTGCCTGTGAGTTAGTCAGGCTGGTACGGACACTGCCGTTTCGACGCCGATTACACGCTGCGGCCTCAGGGTTTTCCTGGGATCAGAGCCGGGCTTTCTCGGCAGTCAAGCAGTCAAAACTCACCCCGCCAGGCTACGACATCTCCGACTACTGTTTTGATGGGTCAATGCAAGCCGGAAGCTCGTTCGATTGCATCTGGCATGTCAAGTTCATGCCAATGAGCCAGCAAAGTCGATAGTTTTTTCGTGGCCACAGGAAGCTCAGCAAGCCGGCAAGTCCTACACGCCCCACCAGGCCGAAATTGGAGTGCAACTGCGGACATTAGTCAACATGAGCAGGGTCAATGAGGGCAAAGCGAGCAAAAAAGACCAAAGCTGTGCAGATGAACTCATAGCCTTTTTGGACAGTGTTCGCAGGGTAGTCAGGCAGGCTGCTAGGCAGCATCGTTTTTGCAGAGTCCTCACTAGCAGTGAGTTGAAGCAAGCAGTTGAGCTATGAGGGCCTGGATGCAGCGGCGGTGCTTCAGCACAAAGCTTTTCATGACCCGGCTGGGGCCGCTCTTGGGAAAAACAAGCAGTCGCTGGTGGCAGAGACTGGAGCGGAACTCGGTCACCGCATCCAGAGGCCAATACGGGGCCTCCGAGATCTCGTCCTTTGCTCTGCGCCTGGAGTGGGAGGTGCTTGGGCCAGAGGTGGGCCCCATCCAAACCGTAGTGACCCCAAGAGGTCAGCTTAGCCGCGATGCTGCCAGACCCTTGGCCTCTGCCATCGCCGAACGCGGCAAGCGGGTGCTGCTTTGGGATCGCCGCTGCACGGGAAGCTCCAGCGCTTGGGCGTCCTGGGAGGAGTCCCTACCAGAACAGGAGGTGCAGGACCTGGCGTGTCTACTCGACAGTCTTGCCCAGCGAGAGAAAACTTCGACCCCTGTGAGCCTCGTGGGTCTCAGCTCGGGTGCCAGGCTCTCTGCGTTGTTCGCTGCTCGTCATCCCCAACGCGTGTTGAGTCTAGTCCTTCTGCCTACGGGTGACTTCTATGGTGCTGCCTCCATTTTGGGCCGTGCCTACTATGGTGACTGTGCCGACACGGCAGAAGCCGGTGGCATGGAGGCGCTTGTCGCAGCAGAAGGCAGCCACTTTCAGGCCTTGGCCAAGAATTCTTCAAGGGCACGTGACGAGCTGCTCGGTGCCGATCCGAAGGACTTCATCTTGGCCATGCGCAGGTCACAAGCCTTCCTGGACGGCTTCAAGGGAAGCAACCTTTTGGGCCTTCAGGCCTCGGAGCTCGCAGGGCTTCAAAGACCAGCTCTGGTCCTCCACCACGGCCTGGAGGATGATCGCCTCCATGCTCTGGAAGATGCGATTGCCTTATCCGAGCAGCTCTCTTCTGGAAGGCTTTTGGTGGAGCCTGATGCTGGGAAGTGCAAAGAAGCTGTTGCGGACTTCGTGAATCAGACCTAGGGCGGCCCGATCTGCAAAGCATGGCGGAGCCCGAGCCAGGTGACAGCCAGACTCACAGCGATGCGGCGACTTGATCCACTCCGAATCTGCACTGCGCTGGCATGAGGGGAGAAGGAGATGACCTCAAACTCCACCACCCTTTCCACAGCTGCACACAGCTCCCATTCTCGGGACTGGAAACCAGAACCCGCCACAACTTTTAGAGATGGTCATTGGCGCAGGACCTGTTGCATCACGGTCTTCCGCCAGAATGGCGAAGATAGGCGTGCATGGTGCAGGCTACAACTCTTCTTTGGCGCTGCTTGCGATGAGCTAGCTTTCCTTTCTTGGGTTTCAGTAGCCGCCGGACCAAGCACCTAGCGCCAAAGCCAAGGACCAGGACTCAAGGGAAGGAGCAAGAAATTCAAATCAACTGTCAGTTAGCCTGTCTCAGCTTGCCAACAACGATGACATGAAGGTGCTTTCTTCCTGACGCCAGCATAGAGTGTACGACACCTCCTGGCAGGGATACGTGGACGGCATCGAGTTCTTCGATGCCAAGTTTTTTGGAATCTCATCGATGGAGGCAAGGCTCTCGCAAGAATCTGCATGTGACAGGTGCTGCAGGATACTTGCCTGGGGTCAGTGTGGTTTGACATGTGTAGGACTTGAGTTTATTCAATTTCAGAGTTCTTTCAGTGGAAGGCCGAGTCGATGGACCCGAACCAGCGCAAGGCCATCGGCCCTTTCGTCGATCTTTGTCGGTCAGCTTGATCTCAAGCCCTGCGATTGTACTGAGATGCTGCCATCTCTGCTCAAGACACAGAGCAGCGAGTTCAGACCGAGTGTCCTGCAAGACATCACTGAGCTTGAGAGTGTACCCTTCCCGGTTCTTGCAGCCATTTGCAGCCCCTGCATCGAATTTTCTCCTCTTCTCAGTTGTGCTCGTTTTGTTGAACGTGGGGCGCCATGGGGACTTTGCGACTTCAAAATGTGGCAGTGGAGATGCAGCTCCAGGAAAAAGGATTGCCGTGTTCCAATGCCAGGGCCAAATGGAAGCACTGCGGCGCAAGGTGGGCCCCGGAAGCAGAAGTTCGAATTCATCCCAGGTGACAAGAATAAAGGTCCAAGAAGTTCAATCACTGCGTGATGCCCGCGAGTTTGCGATCTCTTTCAAGGCCTATGCCCAGCTAAGCCATTGGCGCTTTGCGGCATGCTTGCTTGCGCGAATGCCACAGCTTCGTGTTGATCCCGATCCAGTTTGCTTCCGGACAGTTGCCGACGGCTGCACGAACGTCAGTGTCTGGACGGCATCCCTTGCGACACTGGATTTCATGGAGGCGTCAGGTGGCGGAAGCGTATCAGCGGACCAGACGAGCGCAAAGTCGGCCATGCGAGTATGGCGAGCATCGGGTCAATGGAGCCGGGTGCAGCAACTTCTTGCCGAACTCTGCCAGGCCTTTTTGCAACTGGACGTCAGGGCCTGCAACACTGCGCTAGATGCCGCTGGTGCCAGCAGCCAGTGGAAGGAAGCCAGGATGTTGCTGCAGAGCCTCAAAATCAAGTACAGCCTCGAGCCCAGCCAGGTCTCCTACAACTCGCTCTGTCGAGCTCTTGCCGGCAAAGGTCTTTGGCAGCTTGCCATCTGCGACATGGAGAAGAGTCGAAGCGAGTGCTTGAAGATGGACGTGGTTGGCCTAAACACGCTGCTAGCGAGCTTCACAGACCTGGGCTTGTGGAGTCGCAGCCTCCACGAGCTGACACGGACCCCGATAACTTTGGACAGGGTCAGCTACAACTCCGCAGCCTCGGCAGCGGTGCCAACGAGGTGGGCTACTGCTGTGCAGCTGCTCTCCACGATCAACAGCTCGGCGCTCCGTCCGGATGCCTTCACGGTGAACTTTTTGATCAGAGCCCGTTCCGAGTCAAGCTGGACTTCGGCCTTCTCAGCCTTGCATCTCGTCGCGGAGACGCAGCTCCGGCCCGGATCTATGGCGTACCTGGCGGCTCTTCATGCATGCAGGATGGATCGGAGAGTTGTGGTTGGGGGGACGCTTCAAGCATTGCCCATTGCCCTGGCAGGACTGACCCCTCCTGGTCCGCCGCGCTTATGCTGCTGGAGCGATGGGCCTGGAAACCCCTTGCTGATGCTTGCCTATTACAGGCCGGCCTGCAGCTGGGGACAGGGCTCTTAGAAGCGGACGGCTGCTTATCAGGCACGCAGAGCCTTTGACAGAATGGGAAGCTGGAGACAAGCACTGCTCCAGAGAGGCCCTTGCAAGCGATAGCAATGCGTATGCAATGGGGCTGTCGGTTTTGTCGCTTCCTTTGCCGCAGGCACACTCCGGTGGCAGCTGGCCATGGTTTCTCTTTCAAGCAGGCCAGGAACCCTTCAGAAATGGAAGTCGCTAAGAGACACTGGCAGTGGCCAGCACCTGTCGCATTCGTAGGCAGGACTACAACGAGGCGATCAGGGCCTGTGAAGACAAGAGATGGGAAGCTGCGATGGGTCTGCTGAAGGCGATGAAGGCCTATCTGGTCCCGGACGTGGTGAGTCCCCTGGAGGAGACTCAGCCCTTGTCGCGTCGTCGCATGACGCAGCATGTCGGGCATGAGCAAGGCATCACACCAGGCTGCACCTCTCAGGCTATAATGCGCTGCTGGCATCCATGCACTGGCTGTTGTGCATGGAGATCCTCAGCCAGATTCGACCAGATGTTGTGAGTTGCCTGGCAGAGGGGGCATTGCCTGGGAATTGCGGGCAAATGAGTCCACCTCAGTAATGAGTCGAGAGACTCCATATCCGAGGCTTCACCACGGCCATCAACTCATGCGATAGCTTCGCTTGGAATCAGTCAGTGGCGTTGCTCAGAAGGCGGGCAGCGTGCTGACTCGCCTGAAGCAGAGTTCTCCACCGCAGGATTTCAGGAATGTCGCTGCGCCTGGACACTGTGAGCTGTAATGCTGGCTTGATGCTTGGACTTGAATAGCGGGCTGGCGTGGCGTACAAGAGCTTCCGTGAACAGAGTATGATTCGGCTGCAGCCTCCGAGGACTGCCTGTGCTTCCTCCTTTGGTTGGACGGGCTCAATCTTGATGCTGCAAACGCTGGCGGACAGTTTACTGGAGACGGATCGTGTCAGCTGTCACAGCTCTGTCGCAGTGCGACTAGGCGAGAATTGTGCTGCATGCAAGCCGGCATGGCTTCCGCTGCTTGATCTTGTCCTTGAGGTGTGGCTCGGCTACACACTGGCGAAAAGGGATCTTGCTCTTTGAGCTGATGAAGGCATGCACCGTACCCGAGTCCATGTCAATTCGCCTCAGATAGGCAGAGAGATGCGACTGTTGGAGTACCACATGTGCAGCTCACGGCTGCTACTTAGTTATCCTCTAGCCTGGTGTGGCCTCGCTGATGCTTAAACCTGAACGACCCTTTGACCACTCCCTGCACGGCCAAACTCGCGCTGCATATGTGTTTCATTTCGGACAGGGACACTGGTTGCCATACGACGAGGTGAGCTACAATGCTGTGCTAGGCACCCTGGCATCATAGCAGTAGCAAGTAGCAAGGAGCAAGGAGCTAGTAGCCAGTAGCAAGTAGCAGTAGCAGTAGCAGTAGCAGTAGCGGCAGGAGGAGGAGGAGGAATAGCAGCAGCAGCAGCAGCAGCAGCAGGAGTAGTAGTAGTAGTAGTAGTAGTAGTAGCAGCAGCAGCAGTAGCAGCAGTAGCAGTAGCAGTAGCAGTGGCAGCAGTAGTAGTAGTGGTAGTAGTAGTAGTAGCAGCAGCAGCAGTACCAGTGGCAGCAGCAGCAGCAGCAGCAGCAGCAGCACTAGCAGTAGCAGTGGCAGTGGCAGT